TTTATTTAATTGTTACACCGACATTAATTTATTGATTATAACACAAATGACATAAGATAACATATGATGACATGATTATAACATAAGATGGTCAGAAATTTGATATTATAAAACTTGTAAAGCTTTTTTAATAAATCATTTACATGACATTTAATTACTATAAAAAATATCATTAATCTAAAAATAAACTTGCTATGCATTACATTATGAACTTTATGTAAAGTAATATTATAATGAACTTTTGGAAACCAAAATATTTTTATTTCCTATGACAATACTTTTTTAACAATGCAAAATAAATAACTTAGCTGATTAAAAATATCAGTAAATTGAAATATAGAATATTGATTAGTTATATAAAAACTTAACAAATAGATAAGTTCTACAGCACATTGTTCATGATAAACTATAATAACCAATATTAAAATGTGTAAAAACGACTATGATATGTCTGGCCTTCAAATATTATTTAATTATCACAAAATTACCGGAAATACATATTTTGGTTGGAACTTAGATACAAGACTATCGCTTAAATATAGATTATTGTGGATTTTATTAAGCTTACTATATCTGGCACTTATTGTTTATAACACAACGGATTATATTCTCCATATATACTCACGTATAATCAAACAAACAACTACAATGACCAAGGCTAAAATTCACATTGGATTGTTAATTAAAAATATACGAATAGCCTCACAAATTGGGCAATTTATTTTCCTATACTTTTATTTATTATTCAAAGGACCAAGCATATTTACGGCTATCAAACAATGGGTACAAAATCATATTGGCCCGGGATATGAGCGTCGTGTAGGCGGTATTACCACGATCTGCATCAGCGTTATACCCATGTTGTTGCAAATGCCACAAACAATTTTATCATGTTTGAATTCAGCACTACATTGTACTATAATTTCATATATTATTTTTCCATTATATTATTTTTTATTGCATAATACACAGCAATTAGTGCTATTACTGATTACTTACCAAAGTTTTATTATCGCTAAACAATTGCACAATATTTCACAGAATATTCTTAAGTATGATTTGAATTACATTTGCATGTATTGCCAGAAACTGCGTAAACATATACAATGTTTAGACAATATGTTTGCCAGTTATTTGTTGCTTATGATAATAGCACGTACATTTGTCTGCACAACTTATATATGTAATTTGGTTTTAGGTGATGCGCTCGACCTGGGTAAACTAGCAACATTAATTTATTGTGCTTTGCAACTAGTTGTAATTTGTTTAATTTGCGACATTTTACCTACAAGTTACAAAAAATTTTGTTATAGAGTATGTGATTATTATACAGAATATTCTGTGAACACAATTAAGTCACCGATAGATAAGATTTACATACGTTTACAATTGACTGAATTGAAAGCCATACAACAACAAATGTGTTTTACATGTTTTGGTTTATTTCCAGTTAATAGAAATACATTACTTTCATGTCTGGCATTAATTATATCCTATTCTGTTGTAATCATTCAAACTAATTAAAATTGGCATTTATAAAATTATTATAAAATTTATTTATAAGCTATAATTTATTGTCATAATAATTAAACATTATTAACTTAACAAAACATAATAATAATATTATGTAATAATTTTTTGTAAATTGTAATCACGCTAATTGCTAACATAATTTTAACATAGTTAATAAGTTTAACATAAATACGAAATGATTAACATTTACTCAATTAGTTACAATTAATATTTTTTAATTGCTGGTGATTTTGCTCTGTAGTCATTGCAAAGTTCTCTCATAAAATTTAAATTCTTTCATAAAATATAAAATTTTATTGTATTGTATGTTATCAATTCATATTAATTATTATTAATATCACATTATTCTGACTAGTTAAAATATTAACAATTAATAAATACTCACATTAATATTCTTAATCAAAATATTTAATCAACAAATGTCACATTATTTATAAATTTAATTATATTAAAAATCTAATTTATTATTGTACAATAATATTTGCACTAGTTTACCAACAGTAAGTTTATACAAATAATAAAAGCATTATTGTTATTAAAGTTCTTATAAACGAAAACTTTGTATATAACTTATGACATATAAAGCATACACTTATTTGTTTTATATACAGAACTGTACTAATGTTTTTATAAATATTGAAAGCAAAAATACTGAACCAATTATTAACACTTTCACATAAAATGTCTCAAAACAGCGTTAACTCTGGGCTTAAAATACTGTTTAATTTCCACAGAATTACTGGAAATACATATTTTGGGTGGAATTTTGGAAAAAAGGTTTCACTTAAACACAGAATATTGTGGATTGTGTTAAGCCTATTATATCTGGCATTAATTGGATTAAGCATTTATACACATTATTATAATCTAATGAGAATAACCGGCATTGTTGATACTACCAAGCACAAAATACTAGTTGGTTCACTAGTAACATATATAAGAATTGGAGCAAGAATGGGACAATTTATTTTCTTGTATTTTTTCCTATTGATCAAAGGGCCGACAATATTGACCACAATCATTAGCTGGAATCAGCATCAAATTGACCATGGTTATGAGCGCCGTTTAGGCATAATCATAACGCTAATTGTAAGCGTTGTACAGCTATTTTTGCAATTGCCAATAACATTTATAACATGCACAAACCCATTAAAACCATGCACAACAATCCTATACATTTTGAGTCCAGTATATTATTTTTTGTTGTATAATTCACAGCAATTAGTGTTATCACTGATAGCTTATCAGACATTTATCATTACTAAACAAATGCACAATATTTCACAAAATATTTGTAATTATGATTTAACTTACATTTCTAACTATTGCCAGAAACTACATAAACATATACAATGTTTGTGCCGTTTATTTAATAGTTACATATTTTTAACACTAAGTGTGCGGACATTTATATGCACTTCCTATATATGTAATTTGATCTTGGGCAGTGCGTCTGGTATGGAAAAAGCGGCCATGTTGCTTCAGAGTTCACTTGAACTTATCACTTTGTGTATATTGTGTGATAAATTACCATCTAGTTATCACAATTTCTATCGGACTGTATCCGATCATTATGTAGAATATTCTTTGGGCACAACAATTACACCGATTAATAAAATTCACATTCGGTTACAATTGAATGAATTGAGAGAATTGGGAAAAGAGATGTGTTTTACATGTTTTGGTTTATTTCCAGTGAATAAAAATACATTACTTTCATGTCTTGCATTAATTATTACTTATTCGGTGATTATTATTCAAACTAATTAAATAGTATTGATTAATTACTATTGCATTTCAACATGATGATCTCTGCATATTACATATTAAATAAATTAATAAAACATGTTTTTACATTAGGATTCCTAGATTACATTAATATTTATTAATCTAACTTGTTATTCAACAAATGTCACATTATCTATACATTTAATTATAATATTATTTTAATTTGCATTTGTTTACTAAGTTTCAGCAAATAATAAACATGTTATGTTGTTACTAATATCTTTATAAGTCAAAACAAAATCAATAAATATGTTTATTTAATATAACTATAACCATAATAAATGTACTAAAAACTGCAATAATACAATAGTTTGTATAACTTGTTATAACTTACTTTATATATAATATCTTTATAAGTCAAAACAAAATCAATAAATATGTTTATTTAATATAACTATAACCATAATAAATGTACTAAAAACTGCAATAATACAATAGTTTGTATAACTTGTTATAACTTACTTTATATTATATGTACCAAAGTTACCAAAAATATTGTGGAAAAATTGATCATTAATCATTTACAGTTTTATATAAAATGTCTCAAATCAATGCTTATTCAGGGCTTAGAATTTTGTTTAATTTCCACAGAATTACTGGAAATACATATTTCGGATGGAATTTCGGAGCAAAAGTTTCACTTAAACACAGAATATTTTGGATTGTGTTAAGCCTATTATATCTGGCATTGATTGGATTTAGTATTTATACACATTTTCAGAATCTATTGAAAATAAAAAACATAACCGATATGACTAACCAAAAAGTACTAGTTGGTTCCTTAGTAACCGTTATACGAGTTGGATCAAGAATGGGTCAGCTTATTTTTCTATATTTTTTCTTATTAATCAAAGGGCCGATAATATTTACCACAATCATTCGCTGGAACCATAGAAACCATAATGACCATGGTTACGAACGCTTTTTGGGTATTGTTATAACGCTATTAATAGGCGTTGGATGCATTATATTGCTTTTGCCAGTAACATGGCTATCATGTACAAACCCGTTAAAAGCATGCACACTAACTATGTATATTTTCGTCCCTGTATATTATTTTATATTATATAATACACAGCAAATAGTGCTATCACTTATTGCTTATCAGAGTTTTATTATTTCTAATCAATTACATAACATTTCAAACAATATTTTAAAATATGATTTGAATTACATTTGTATGTATTGTCATAAACTGCATAAACATATACAATGTTTGTGCAGTTTATTTAGTAGTTTTATATTTTTGACGCTAACTGTACGCACCTTTATTTGTACTTCTTATATATGTAATTTAATCTTGGGCAATGTTTTTGCCATGGAAAGAGCGGCCATGTTGCTTCAGAGTTCACTTGAACTTATCACTTTGTGTATATTGTGTGATAAATTACCATCTAGTTATCACGATTTCTATCAAACTGTATCCGATCATTATGTAGAACATTCATTTGGCACAACAATTACACCGATTAATAAAATACAGATTCGGTTACAATTGAATGAATTGCGAGAATTGGGTAAAGATATGTGTTTTACGTGTTTTGGTTTATTTCCAGTGAATAGAAATACATTGCTTTCATGTCTGGCATTAATTATCACATATTCAGTAATTATCATTCAAACAAATTAAATCCTTTTACAAGTATTATTGTATTTAATTTTATTTAAAATACTATTTAAGATTTAACCTAAAATGTAATTCATTAAAAATTATATTATATAAAATAAATTCAAATAATATCACAAAACATTTTGTGTAATATTACTTTACCAATAGCTTAACAACCCTAACAGCGCCGGACGTCTGTACCAACAGTTTCAATGTGTCATCTCTGGTAAGTGTGGCCAACACTTCTCGGCCCTCATCGAGAAACAGGTCGTGAACCTCGTATTTGGTCTCCGGTTTGGCCGTCGGTATTAATTCAGAAACTTTTTGCCACATCTTTTAAGTTAACCATAATTTAATTAATTCTCAATTTGTTAAAAAGTAAATATTAATTAAATTACATATACTGGGTGTCCCATTGGCCGCCTATTCAAGTAAGTGACCACGTACGACCACTCGTTGTTTACCACTGGCTCAACCGGTTTTACCCACACTTCTGACCATGCATCCTAATTAAACCAAATACAATCATCATATAGAATATGTGCTTGATTAATTGATAAAGACTCATTTACCTTATACGTACGCTTAGCCATAATACCATGTTTGTCCTGATTCACAGCGATTAGTGCCTTGTTTTGCAAAATTGCTTTAAATTCAGGCTTTAATGTACGCAAATCGGTGGACATAATGAGTGGCGACGACCACATGCACCACATCGCCATTTGGGTACGGCTTTGATGCCACGACAGACCCGGGTTACCGATTGACAGCTCATCTGACCATGGTTAATAAAAACAATATTATTATTGATTCTAAACTATTTTATATAATCAAATCAATAATTTGATTTTAGAGAATTGTAACTATACCTGGATCAGCCCAGTGTCCCGGTCCTAATATCCAACAAATAAATATGCAATTAATTACATAAAATTACAATTTGTTTAGGTACTAAAATTATTAACTAATTATTGATTAAACATACCATTATGCTTAATAAACAAGTCATTATAATCGCCGTAGTATTTAATAATGCCCTCAACGCCGCCATCGCCAGCCCATGTGTCCATTGAATCCTTATAGTTGCGATAGGCATGACATGCGCGGGCGATGGCTTCGTAGTCCGGATTAATGCCGCCGAACACGTACTGAAAGAATGGCCACTCGCATACTAGCAACATTTTATGACCTTAATCAAACACAATTATTAGATTATCCTAAATAAAAAACTAATTAATTAATTGATCGAGGCAATTTACCGGTGGCATTCATAGCTTGCGCTAATTTTGGATACAGTGTATCGTATTTTTTCACGTCCTCATAACAACCGTCCACTTTGAATGAGTCGACTCCCCATTCGGCCAATGTCTGGGCGTCCACATCGAAATAATCCTGACCCCCTGGCGAGTGATTGTTTTGACCAGGGTACACTCTACGGCATTGTCATATACAAATATAATAGGGTTATAATTAGATATAAAGTACAAATAATAAGGTAATACTTGTAAAATGTTTTGCTAATTAATAAATAAACTTGACGAGCACTGTAATCAGCAAAGTAATCAAATAACAACACTCACCCTGAACAGGTAAGATTGCCAATATCACCGTAAGCACCAAGTTTAAGTCCCTTCGCGTGCATATAATCGGCCAGAGCTTTAATACCTGAGGCAAACCGGCGTTTATTTGGCACCAGTCGTCTGGTCTGCGGGTCTCTATGCACTTCTGTCCACCGGTCGTCGATATTGATATACTCGTAGCCCAACGCGTGAAACCCGTCGCTAACTAACCGGTCGGCCATTTGTTTGTATAAGTTTTCGTGAATACACTGATCGGAGGGTCTCTATGCACTTCTGTCCACCGGTCGTCGATATTGATATACTCGTAGCCCAACGCGTGAAACCCGTCGCTAACTAACCGGTCGGCCATTTGTTTGTATAAGTTTTCGTGAATACACTGATCGGGATATGACTGACAGTCTTCGTCGGTGTCAAACGCCGTGTATGACAGCCAACCCATGGGCGGTGTCCGCGCCTGACCGTCGTCTGTCCAGCCGTAGACACCGGTGCCCGACGTCCATATGGTTAGCACCACTAGGAGTAGTGATTGGCGTAACATATTGTAGGAGTTATTGTTGTAAACTTTATTTATAATAATATGGATTAACTATTATTGTATTTATTATAACAATTACTTTTATATTATTGTATTTTTAAATTAATGTTGTGTTTATATATAAGTTAAAATTGACTGATATTAAATATCTTATCAAGCTTAACATACCTTAGTGACCTTATTTAGTGCATGTAAATGTGTTACATATAACAATGAATGTGCATGATAATATTTTTAATAGGAATTTTGCTTGCGTTCATATGCGCTTTAATATTTTTTGATTATTCTTCAACATAATAAGTTAAAATGTTGTATACCTTTACATAATAGTTATGTCTAACACAGAGATATTATTGATTAAAAACCATGTTGGTCTGATTAAAAGCAATTTATTACAAACGAGATTAATTATAAAACTTACGATTATTATTATAAAACACAATTGAGTTACAACAGATGTTTTGTTATTTTTATATAGTTGATTAAATATGATCATAAATTATGATTCATAATACATAAATATGATTATTGAATACTTAATATTTATTTAGCAAAACTATTTTTACTTAAACACACAATTCTTTAATAACGTTATAATTACCCCATTTATATTATAATTTTTAATATTTAATTTAATTTATATTAACAAAATTGAGATGCATTTTGTGGTAAGAAAAATTAATCACTATTTAAATTATTTATAAGTTATTTCAAAGTAACAATTAATTAGTTTGAATTATTATAACAGAATAAGAGATTATTAATGCCAGACATGAAAGTAATGTATTTTTATTAACTGGAAATAAATCAAAACATGTAAAACACATTTCTTTACCCAATTCTCGCAATTCATTTAATTGTAACCGAATGTACATCTTATCAACCGGTGATTTAACACTATTTATAGAATATTCTACATAATAATCGCTTACAATAATATAAAATTTCTTATACCGTGATGGTATTATATCACAAATTAGGCAGATTGCAACTAGTTGTAATGTGCTCAAGATCAAATTAAATATTTTTTCAAGCCCAACAGATTTACCCATTACTAAACTGCAGATATAAGCAGTGCATAAAAATGTACGCACACCTAGCACAATAAATAAATAACCGCTAAATAAATGACCAAAGCATCGCATTTGTTTATGCAGTTTATGGCAATACATAGAAATATAAGTGAAATTATATTTATGAATATTGTGTGAAATATTTTCCAATTGTTTAACAATAATAAAACTTTGATAAGCAATCAGTGATAGCACTAATTGCAGTGTATTATGCAATAGAAAATTATGAACAATTTTCATTATTACTGAACATGTATTATACGTTTTTAAATGAGATTCACACCATAGATAGGCTACGGGTATATGTAGTAATAATGGTATAAAAGTAATAGACATCGTAATAATAATGCCCACTCGGCGCTCATATACCGGATTAATATGTTTTTGATCCCATTGTTTAATAAAGCTTAATATAATAGGTCCACGTATTAATAAATACATGTATAAAAATATATATTGTCCACATTGTGCAACTAATCGCGTGTAGGACACCAAAGATACCATGATTATTTTGTTTGGTGTCATTTTTGGCGCCTGTAAAATGAGTGCCCTATGCACATTTGATGTATACGATATAACTTCATATATAATTAGCGTCATGTATAATAAGCTGACAATAATCCAGAATATTCTTTGTAATAAACATATTCGTGTCCCAACATTCCAACCAAAAAATGTATTACCAGTTATTCTATGAATATTAAATAATATACAAATACCCGAAATATAGTTAATTAGGGGCATTTTATTTGTTAGAATATTTTTAATATTACATAAATTAAAATTGTTAACTGATAAAAATTATAATAACTATAAAATCAGTATTTTATTAATTCTATAAAGGTTTTTATGAAAAATTTATTTTGCATAAATATGTTTTAGCTGTTTACTATAAAACATGTCAAATATAATTCTGTTATTTAATATATAACAAGAAACTCAATCAATTATGTATTTGACTAGCAAATAATATTTTTTAAAATGATTTTAATATAAAATTATCTACTTTAGTAGAAAATATTATAAATGTTATTTGACATAAATTATATGTTTACAAATAATGATAATATGACAAATTACACAAAAATAAGATAAATGTATAAAACTGTACTAAACTAGAATTAACCATTCTCTCTCTCTCTCTCTCTCTCTCTCTCTCTCACCGATCAGTGTATTCACGAAAACTTATACAAACAAATGGCCGACCGGTTAGTTAGCGACGGGTTTCACGCGTTGGGCTACGAGTATATCAATATCGACGACCGGTGGACAGAAGTGCATAGAGACCCACAGACCCGACGCCTGGTGGCCAATAAACGCCGTTTCGCCTCAGGTATTAAAGCTCTGGCCGATTATATGCACGCGAAGGGACTTAAACTTGGTGCTTACGGTGATATTGGCAATCTTACCTGTTCAGGGTGAGTGTTGTTATTTGATAACTTTGCTGATACAGCGCTCGTCAAGTTTATTTCTTAATCATCAAAACATTTTACAAGTGTTACCTTATTGTTTGTATTTTATATCTAATTATAACCTAATTATTTGCATACATGACAATGCCGTAGTGTGTACCCTGGTCAAAACAATCATTCGCCAGGGGGTCAGGACTATTTCGATGTGGACGCCCAGACACTGGCCGAATGGGGAGTCGACTCATTCAAAGTGGACGGTTGTTATGAAGACGTGAAAAAATACGACACACTGTATCCAAAATTAGCGCAAGCTATGAATGCAACCGGTAAATTGCCTCGATGAATTAATTAATTTGGTTGTTTTTCATTTAAGTTATAATAGTCTAATAATTATGCTTGATTAAGGTCATAAAATGTTGCTAGTATGCGAGTGGCCATTCTTTCAGTACGTGTTCGGCGGCATTAATCCCGACTACGAGGCCATAGCCCGCGCATGTCATGCCTATCGCAACTATAAGGACTCAATGGACACCTGGGCTGGCGATGGCGGCGTTGAGGGCATTATTAAATACTACGGCGATTATAATGACTTGTTTATTAAGCATAATGGTATGTTTAATCAATAATTAGTTAATAATTTTAGTACCTAAATAAATTGTAATTTTATGTAATTAATTGCATATTTATTTGTTGGATATTAGGACCGGGACACTGGGCTGATCCAGGTATAGTTACAATTCTCTAAAATCAAATTATTGATTTGATTATATAAAATAGTT